CATCTCACATGTTATGTAAATAAGACAAATGGCTTTGGTTTGGGCCGTATTCTTATTCAAATCTTTCATATGAAGAGAAAATGCCCAAATTCGAAAACGGAAATAAAAAGCACACAAATAAAACATTCAACAATTTCTATTTTCAACCACATTGTGTGTAATTAGTCATATGAATGGACAATTTTCAGTTGTAGATAGACATTTTCACACGAAAGCCTATGATGTATTTAAGCTGTTGAACGGATGCTCAAATAAACTACTTTTTCGTTGCATCCATTAAACAAATGTCATGATCGAATGCGATGAAACTTGAGTTTTTTTTAACAAAGAAAATATTGAAGATGATGTAAAAAAAAAACTTCGTTGAAATGAATGCGACAATTCCAGATAGTCAGATTCCAATTTAACAAAATTAGAGTAATGAAGAATCGGCTTTTATAATCAATTTCATTTGATGAAATAAAATCAGATACGTTTTGTGAGTAAACAAATCTAATTCAACCAGATTCAACGCCACACTTAAACAAATCTATAAGTCGCTGTTCACTACTTCGAAGAAAACAATTTAATTAAATAAGATTTGATAATGTGTATCAGCGTCACACACAATGACGATCAAACAAAATCTTATGAATACAAAGATAAATAAAATTTGGAAAAATGAATTACCACCTATGAAGCGCCAAAACGTGAGACTGAAATTTAGTGGGAATGAAATTTAGTCGATGGCAAACATTGTGAGTGCCAACATCGTTTTCAAATTTGTATCAAATCCATCGGCAAGTCGGCAGTGATTTCAAAACGAACGATTGGTCATTGACACGCGTGATTAAACTATTTTCATTCAGTGCAGAATTTGGTGTAAGTGTTCTTCAATCCAATTAAGGTAGTACAATTACATATTCGAATTGTGTTGAAAGGAAGTTTTTTTTTCATTACATTAATTAAAAAATAGAGGACAGACACGGTAAATTTTCATTAAGAAATAGTATCCAGATTTCGTGGCAAAATTTTTTGATTCTTTTTTCCACGAATTCAGAGACATGTAGACGACGAATATTTAGATTTAAATTAATATTTATTTCATTTACATTTCTGTTTTCTCTCTTCGTTTTTGTTCTATCACTGTGTCCGCTGTTCTGGAAAGAGATAGACCATATCACGTTTTCAACGATGCGAACACTTGTTTTGATTCGAAGCAATCGCAATTGAATCGTAAAATTCGGTAGCAAGTTTTTTTGTTTTATTCTGGTACGCATCTGATCCGCATGTTCAGAAAGACAATCAAACAAAGCAGCCGATGACAATAATGACAACAACAATAAGAAAACATGTGTATTTTTCTCAATTAATAACAATAAAAATATATATTTGACAAGAAAGTGACAGAGCAACAAAGAAAATTCCAAGCACCGAAAACAAGACAAGACAAGATATCAAACAAACAAACAAACGAATCATGACCAAAAAAAATTTAACAAGATCGATTCGACATCGTATTGAATCGATGACACACGAATCGTGTGAACGTGATAAAAAATATGGAGTTGTGTGTGGTCGATCGCAATTGCAGTTGCCGAAATGAAAATCTGTTTCAAATAAAAAGACGTACAAACAAAAGAATGAAAAGCACATTGTGATCGGAAGATTTTGTATTTTCGCCTACAATGTACAAAGATTAAGGGTTCAAACGAGGTTGGACGGTGAAATGCATTTGTAAGGTGGTTCAGTTAAATGATTCAAATACTAAGTCAGTAACAACAACATCGACAGCCAAAGTCAACACAAAGTCGTTAAGTCGAGTCGGCGGTATTTACTCGATTTACAAATGAGCCTTAATTGGATTGAATCTTATAAATTTACACCGCCAAGACAAGAGTTTTTTTCATTTTTGCAAAATTTCCCAATCGTTTATGTATAGTTTTGGTCCGACAAATTATTTTTGTGTATATTTTTTTTATGCATCGGAACGAAAGAAAGACAAACAAACAAAGAAAAACAAAAATCGGAAGAAGAGATAATAATGATTTGTTTGCACATGAAAATGCCAAAATATTATTCTACCAAAATTTGGGTATTTCTTCCGAGAGAAATTCTTGCCATTGGTAATAATCCGATCAAGTGCAAAATCTATTCGTAGCAAATATATTCGCAGTTAATATATTTCTTTATAACTTTATTCTCTGCCATGGCAGCGAGACAAAGAGAGAATTTATGATGGTCAACACTGTGCAGTACAGTTTTTTATGCATACCCCAATTTTGTTAGACAATAACTCTTTTAATAAGTGCTTTTTTCTCATTTAAATGATTTCATAACTACATAAAACACAGACGAAAATGTGGAAAGCGATATCGAAAGAAATTCATTGAGAAAACCAAAAAAAAAATTGTTGCGATAGAGAGAAAGAGAGCCGAAACAAACTCAAATGAAACCGAACCACATGCTTATTGTTGCCAAAGCAGGTATATCTATTATCGTGAATTGTTCATAGTTGTTTATTTATATATTTGTGATGTAATCAGACAAAATTTCATTCATGCTTTGAGAAAGACAGTGTTTTGTCATTTGGTTTGTCAGTTGCCATCATCTTTTTCACTCTATTGAAGAATACAATTGAAAATGCATACATTTTCACTTCTCCATGCATTCAAAAAATGAAACGTTCTTAGTATGCTACAGCAGCATTGCTCGGGACACTTCCTGTTGTATATTGATAACCATAAAAAAATGACTAAGGTACTTGTAAAACTTTGTTCAGTCTCAGTTTTCGCCAAGTTAGAACTATTGTTCTTATTGCACTGTATGTTTAAGTATGTCTATTGTTTTTGGTAATATACTCCAAAAACATCTTCGAACAAAAAAAAAGAGAAACTTGAAGTGTATTAACACTTAACGGCAAACGTGTGCGGGGAAATTCCCACCTTAAGCCAATTTCTTATGTTCTTCTTTCTCACAATGTCTACAACAATCAAAGAAAAAAAAAAACGATTCGACTGCAACGGCAATTTGCATTCATTGACAAAACAAAAATATGATTGAAATTGTTTTTTACCTTTATATACTTGTTTGTTTTGGCTAAATATGAATAAAGAAAGATAAAAACTATTGCTATTGATTTAACTTCGTTTTATATCTCTTCGAAACTACTACATTTACTGAGCTTCCATAATTTTGTGCCGAAAATAAAATATTACTGTACATAATCTGGTGTATAAATACATATAGATGATAAAGGGACTTATCTCCTAATTGGAATCACTTTTTTTAGTCTTTTTTTTTATCCAAGTTTCAGTTTTTTTTTTCAAATCTTACATACTTAATTTTCCCCTCAACTTTTCATTATATTCTAGTGATCGAAAAGATTTCAAGGCACATTTTCATATTATTTTTCATCACTGTCAGTAATAAGCAATTTTCATCATGTTCAATGGTGCATATCACGATCAACAGCATCAATGCTTGAAACAAACTTCCTATTTCATTTTCTTTGAAATAAAAATGCAGCAGGTACATGAAAAAACATTGTTCTCTTTAAATTTTGGCCGAATGAAGAACTATAGTTTTATTGGCCCGTATATTTGACTATGTCTATTGTTTTAAGTGATATGCTCCAAAAAGATGCTTAAAAAAGGAAACTTGAAGTGTATTATCGCTTAATGGTGTGGGGAATTCCCACATCATAAGCCAATTTCTTGTTTTCGGTCTCTTTCTCTTTTTAACTTTCGGTGAAATGGGAAAGAAACCTTTGGGCTATTCATAAATTTAAATACGTTTCCTTTTTTTTTGCATGTGATTAGACAAATCCGAATGGCGACAGACAGATCATAAAACTTCATGTAGTAGATTTCCATTCACAAATACCTATTCGTTCATAACCTTTGACAAAATTCTGTTTTCGCACATATTTACGCACCCATTGAACTTTTTTTTTCACCAATATATGAATGAAATACAGTGTTTTGACAGGCCTTTGTTCTTGAGGCCGAAGATTTTTTTTTTCTTCATCAACATTGGTTAAAGGTTCGCTTTGCTAAGGATTTATTGATTATTGTTTTTTTTGCCAACATTTTATTTGAGATACTTTGAACTGAACAAAATTGTTAACCAGGGAATGCCATCAGATGAATCAATGTGATGGTTTTATCAGAAAACATAAAAAATGAATTTATCGGAATCTTGAAAAATAATGTAGCAATAAAAACTTTTTACTTCACTCGCAAAATCATGCCATACCAATTACCAAATCGATCAATTTTGGAAAGGATTTTTATGAATTGCAATTAATTTTCAGGAAATGTGGACAGTCTATGAACGCGCATAAAATCAAATATCATAGAAATTGGTAGAGTCAACAAATTAAAATGCAAAAGTATTCGATCGTGTGCATAGTTTGTTTTTGGTTTGTCTGTAATTGGCGATTCAAAAACAAAATTTCAATATGTAAACACGCGCCAATACATTAAAGACAACGGGAGCAGCTTTTTTCCGATGGGTTCCCACTTCGATTACAATGCATTAAAATGTCAGTGTGTTCGTGGTTTATTTGGCTTTTTGATTGTTATGCATGCTGTTTCTGCATCGACGAAGAAACAGAGACAAAAAAAAAATGTTCAAAGAAACTGAAAGAAGCAGAAATAAAAGAAGCATAAAAATTGTACTGTAAAACGTAACAGTACCCATTGCGATTCCTTTCTCAGTTTGGCTCTGCTATCTCTCTGCTTTGTTTCTCTCTTTTTCTCTTTCGTTGTGCATGCACGATCCTTTTTTCAGTTGGTTTCTTGTGTTGTTGTGTTTGCATGTACCTCTGTTAACTGCTGTTGTTGGTGCTTACTGTGTTTGTGATCCAATCCATATAATGTGTATTAAGTATGTTATATGAATGCTTTGGGCTCTCTCGCGCGCTCTGTGTGTTGAACAAAACACAACAATGTGATGTGTATGCTCTTGACGTGCCGAGTACGCTCCGTTTTGAAATTCAGTCAGGTGCGAGACACCAAAGCAGACGGTCGTTCTTTTTTCCAAAATAGTTGTATGCTCTTCACTTGGTTCATTTTTGTTCACACACATTCAATAAAAAAGCACATCCACCAAAATCACATTTTTCGATCGTTACATTAAAACAAATTTTCAAAGATTTTTTTAAAGGATTTTAAGTGTATTTTTTTCTTCATTTGCTGAAGATCAACATCGAAGGATCAAATCAACGTGTGATATTCGATGAGTTTAAAACATTATTAAGTTTAAAGGTGTACCGGAATTGACAACGAAAAAAAATTTAAATAAATCTTGCACCAATCGAACAAATCATCGACACGATCGTCCAAATGTGATAGATGGAAAACAATGTTTAATTTTGACCAATAAAAAAACACTTTTGAAACATTGTGTGATGAAGTATGCATAGACAAAATATATCGACCATAAACTAATTTCCGTTTTTATTGTCAAAAATCGTGCCATTTCAATAAAATAATATAACGGGAACGATCACCAGCGAAGAGATTGGCCAATAAACAGCAAATAGTCTTTAAAAAAAGAGACTTTTTAGTGAATCATCAATATAAAAAAAAGGATCATCAAACACACCGGTAAGTCGAAAAAAAATCTTTTTAAATCATAGAAGTGATCTGTGTTCGTTAACTGATTGAGCCGACGGGAGATTTTTTCTCAATTCATTGGCTTCAATCAATTAAATCCTTTTTGTCACTCTGCTTGACCGATTGATTGTTCAATTTACATTTGCTCTTTTTTTATTTCTCAAACGATGTTCACTTATCAATACCTCATACCGTAAGATTAGACACAAAAACGGTTTTAAAATCTCATTTTCATTTTTTTCTTCTTCATTCAACGTGAGCTCATTTATTTTTCACTCAACAAAAACTGAAACACTGTGTATACATTGATGAGATCGCATTAATTTTGGAAATTAAAATGCACATTAGCTTAACCAGAGAGAAAAGTAAAAAAAAATATGACAAAGAAAAAAGATAAAAATGAGTGAGCTAGAGAAAGAGAGATCGATCGCCAGCCAATCGGCCAAGCTGTTCGACGAGTTGGTCAAGGAGAGAGAAAAATGCGGAGAAAGAACTTAAAACGGTTTGTTCAAAAGAGATTAAACCACCTGCCACAATCAATTTTTTTCTCAATTTTTGTTGCTGCTTGTGTCTCGTGTCATCCACAAGAGTCAATGGTTTTTATTTTCTGTTTATATCGATCGTATATTTTTTGTTGTTGTTTGTCGATCATACGGCTTGTGCTTTTCTCACTCACTGTGGCCAGTTTTATGTTTAATAATCCTTTTTGTCGTGTTCAAGCGGAATTTTTTTTTTTTTTTTACACGGTTTAATTTTGTTAAGCATTTGGCTCGAGCCGAAACCAATGCGCTTTGATTTGATTTATTTTTCTTCTTCTTCTCTTCGTCATAATGCTGCGATAAAAGCTGTCATAAAATCGGGCACGTGCGACATCCCAGTGCAAAAGCAAAACGCACACGCACAAACAATCCAAACCAAACGAACAAATATGTAATACAAAAACAAAATAAATTGCCGAGAGTTAATTGCGTGTGCTCTGAAGACGATTGCATTTGCAGCCGTTCGATGTTCAATGTGTAACAATTTTTAAATTATAGTTTTGATCAATTTGGCTTTTATTTTTTGGCAAAAATTTCTGAGAATTTTGTATTTCACATCTTTTATCCAGCCACGGAATGTGAATCATGTGCATATGTGTTTTTATTTTTATTTTGTGACAGAAAACGAAAGTGAATTATCTAACTTGGATGCGCTTTTCATAAGATTTTTTTTAACGATAATTAATGAATTTAATTTAGCATTTTTGATTTCCGCAATGTTGAATTGATAAATGAAATTTATCATTGAAATGATTGAAAGTGAATTTTGAGTTGAACGACGGAAAACACAAAACACATAGCTAATTAACACAGATTTGGAGCATATGTGAAACGTAAATATTTGTCAAACGAAAGTTAACCGATAGCCAAAATATTTCCGGTCATTTTGAAATTAGTTCATGTGTGATCAATTTCAGCTTCCAAATAGATCAATTATTGGCTGATTGAGAGTGAAACACTATTTTGTTTTGTATTGACATAAGACAGAGAAAGTGTGGTCAGTTTTGCGTAAATCGCATAAAAAAAGAGCAAACAGCAAAAAGATGACACACGGTTCTTAGTTAGACATTTGTTTGAACTGCGACGTAAAGCTCGGTGCGTGAGTTTGTGTGAGATACGAGTATGTATGACATGTATGAGCATCGTAGATCATTTGCTGAATATTAATATTTTTGGATTTGTTTTGTGCACACAATGTTCCGAACTTATTTAGTTCCGTTTTTTCCGGTCTCATTTTGTATGAGACAGAATAAAAAAAAAACAAATGAAAACGAAGAAAACAAAACAATAAAAAATAAATTCAATTCATCGGTCGTTCTCATGGCAAATATTTGTTTTACATTGTCTTTGACACGGAAACAAAATGCTCCATAGAGTATTTCAATTGCATCTATTTTAATTTAAATTTGAATGAAGTGTTTGTGATGCACATTGCCCAAAGATGGGTTATAAGTAGAAAATCTATTCATATTCTTCGTGAAACCAAAGAAAGCAAGAAATTGGACGGCGAGTACATTTTAAAGCAAAGATAAATACGACATTTAAAAGAAAAAAAGAATCATTGTGCCGTCTTCGTGATGAGGGCCAATATGAGTCAAGAATTGAGTGGACAATGTATTGCAACTGTTTCAAGTGAGATCTATTGTTCATTTTAAAATTCAATATGCACGGCACAGTTTGGTCATCGCGTTTTTTTTTTTTGTTTCTTCTCTTCTCTTCAAAAAACCATCTTACCTTAGCAATATTATGAGCAATTGTTGTGTATCATCTTGTGTCGCTTTGTTACAAATATCAGACATGAATGTGTCAGATTTTTGTCGCGCGACTTCTTCCGTGATGCATTCGATGCATATTAACAATTCATTGTGTAACCGAAGTAAATAAAAGGACATCAAATCAGAAACAAAAAAAAAAAAATACAAACAAAACATGGCGACAGACAAACAAACTACACACCATTTGGTTCATATTGAGCGTAAAATAAATTCAAACAGACAATATACAATTAAGACAGATTTCCGATGATGGGAAACAATCACGAAAGGAACTAAAGGAATGGCCTAATGAAGTGGAACGCATACATACAATAGATAAACAAATTGGAGTGAAGGAAATGCACAACAATGCACATATACAAATTTCAACACTTTCAATTTTCAATTCGTTGTCAGTTTGTTTATCGTCGACTTCTTTCTTGAGCTCTGGCGTCCGTGCCATATGTGAATTGATTTCATTTCTCAATCGCTTGTTGTGTTACCACTTTTATTGACAATGGGTTTTGTGACAGGAAGCACCAATAAATTCCGTGGCTCGTTTGTGTCCATTCCAATCAATGAAACGATCATTTACACATTTGCGTGCATCAATACCAAAACCAAAGCAAATATAAATCAATTGTAATTGAAATTGTTTTATTTCTCTATTTCTACTATTTTTCAATTCATTAATTGGAATCATGTTCACATAAAAGCTGAACAAAATCCCATTTCTTTTTCTCTCACCTAATATTAAATCGTCGATTATCTCCACCACTATCTAAACGATTGTCATACACTGGTCAAAATAATAAACCAATATATCCGTGTCTGTTGTGCTTTTAACTTCGTCAAAATATCCCAAGAACGTCTTTTTTTTATTTTGTTCTCATCGCTATCGCATTTATCGCGACGATTTTATGTATGTGGGAATATGTTAATAGTTGCGTGCTTGGTTATTATTACCCTTATGCTACATTTCCGAATACCCCTACCCCTTGCAAATGTGGTGGTTAGTGATTCGAAAAACGTACTTTGGTATGGTGAAAAAAAAAACGAAGAAGAACATTCACCAAATTTATTACTTCCACCCTCATTTCAATTTTATCGAGTACAAATGTTTCACACGCGTTCATGATTTTCAACCAAATTAAACTGTTCGTTAAAATGACGATTATTGCGCGAAATGTAACGAACTTTTTTATGCTTTTTCTTCGTTTAGCTTGGAAATGAAAAAAGGGGCACATTTGTTTGAATTGTTTAACGAACTTTTTAATTGAAAATGATGCATGCAAGGGATGGAAATTATCAATTGGATTTCGTTATATTAAAATTGTTTTTGGTTAATAATATTTTTGGAAAAAACTTCAGTCAAACATTTTTGTCTCAAAATTATTTTTGATATTTTTGCGCAATTCGAGTCGTAAATAAAATTCAGAAATCAATTCGTTTTTTTAATTACTTTAACAATCAAAATATAAATCATTTTTTCGAACGTCACGACCAAAACAAATGCAATCCAATAATTTCGAATAGATTGCTGGTGCTATCATTTGGTTCTGTTCTCCCTTTACTTCACATATTTATTTATCAGTTAATTAATTTAATTTCCTTCATTGTATTGAATACTCTCCCTTTGTCACACTTTGAATATGGATTGACATTTCAAAAACATGACCGGTCGTTCAAATACAAAAAAGTCCCATATTTGATTTTTACAGCACGATTTGATGCAACGACGGAAAAAAATAAAACGCAACTATTATCTAATTACATTGGTCATTTGGTGTGTGTGTGTGTCACTCGTGTGCTTTCATTTCCAAAACGAAAAACCAAATCCTTTTCCCCATTTTATCGGAATTACGTGCTTTAATTTGCTCTTGTCTTTTATTCTTGTAATAGACGTTGTTATTAAATTGTCGTTGTTCGTAATTTAATCAATTTGATGGTTTTTGATATCTTAATTGGCGTACTTTAATTTAAAAACGATGCACAATTTCCAGTTTTCACCTTCAAATAATCATAACAAAGCCGACCGCGCTCAATGAGCGCGAGGGGAAACGAGTTGTCGAAGCGATAAATCGACAAACAAAGCGGTCATCATCGTTGTTGTGGTCGAAGCCATCGTCGTTGTTCCCCTTGCTCGTGCATTTAATTTGTACGAAAAAGAATGAACTTCAATCTTAAACCAAAGCATTTCATTTGTTCTTGGTCACCATTCAGTTACATTTTTTTGGTGCTTTTTTTACAATTCTCTTCATTCTGTTGGCTGAAAATCGGTGTTGCGTGCAATGTGAATACACAACACGCTTTGTGCATTGATGCAATACAAAAATGTTTGTTAAATAAGTAACAAATAGTTGGCACTCGCCGACTGGCTCGTGGATCGTGTGAACCAAGTGGGATATATGCATACGTTCTCTCACTGTATATTTTTCTCATCATTTCTCATTTGTGGGAAGATACGGTGGGGACAAAAACCAATTCATTTTAAAAGCCAATCGAATGGCTGACTTTTTGAAATTAATGTGCACTTCTTCTTCTTATTTCAAATGAAAATCCAACAAACATATTCATAAATTATGAATTCGATTCATCAAATAGCGATTTTCGAATACAATTTGCATAATGATTTTTCTTTATACCGTCAAGCGTGCACACAAATCGAAATTGTGAGTGTTGTGGATTTGTTTTTTTT